GAAAGAGAGAAAGAGAGAGAGAGAGAGAGAGAGAGAGAGAGAGAGAGAGAGAGAGGGAGAGAGTGAGTGAGAGTGTCGAAAATTCAAATGGCAAACATTTAGGCAATACTGGTTAAGCTGCAGCTCAGTGTGCGGCACGTTTTATAGTTAAAGCATTTAAAGCTCTGCAATGTCGTTGCGAATGAAAGGCCATTTGAGTGGCTCACTTGAATTTATCAAATGCTCGAAATCAAATTGAATTCAACGGCAGCCGATTCATCGCCACACACGCTCAGAGAGCGGCCGATGCGGCGTATGAGTGACGCGGTTAGTTAGCCATGCGGCAGAGCTAAAGTAGGATGTTGAATCACATTTTACGCCTGGCTGATTTTTCCATGCAAATTGTCAGTGTGTGCGTGTGGGCGTGTGGGCGCGGCAGAAAATACTTTAGCAGCGTCGGCGAGCAGAAAACTGCGGCAATTGAAGCTGTCGACCGCTGACTTTCAACAGCCAAGCGAGAGAGAGCGAGAGGGAGAGGAAGGAAGACACAGCGTGCTGGCTCTCTTTGACTCACCATAATAATATTGGCTTGCTCCACATTGTTGCTGCTGCTGCTGGTGTTGCTGCTGCTGCTGCTGTAGCAGCATGTCCAGCTGGGCAGCACTGTCGGCGGCCAGCGCCTCCTGGCGCATCTGCATGCGCATTAGATAGTTGGAGCTGCCGAAGGTGCGACGGCTGCCGCTGCAGCTGTTGTTGTTGCTGCTGCTGCTGGTGGTCAGGCCGACGTCGGGGCCGCTGCTGCCAAAGTTCATGGCGCGCTCGTTGCGCATGCTCACATAGAGCGTGCGCGTGATGAACATGTAGGCAAAGCTCAGGGCGAGCAGCGGCAGCACCAGCAGCGCCAGGTCCAGGAAGATATTGTAGGCACGCTCATAGCCCAAGGAGCCGACGGGCCACTGCTCGCGGCACTTGCGCAATCCTGTCAAATAGAGCAAGGGCTAAGAGACGAGGCCAGAGCGAACGCACGGCTTACTCACCCTGGCGACTGGTGGGCATCAGTTGGCTAAATACCGCAATGGGCGTCATGCACACCAGGCTGCCCAGCCAGATGAATGCGATGATCTTGTTGGCATGGTTGATCGTCTGCCAGGTGCGCGATCGGAGCGGATGGCAAATGGCGTAGTAGCGCTCGCAGGATATCGCCACCAGAGTCCACGAGGAGACGGCCACAGAGGCGGCTGCAACGAGCAGAAGCAGAGCAACTGTATTTTAATGATTTATTTGGTATTAAAGGAAAAAATATCAGCTTTAGTTTCTTAAATGCAAAAGCGCGACGCCTTATTTGCGATATTTGTCTCACGAAAATCATCGTTCATTTGAGCTGCAGATATCGATAGCTAATTTGTCGCTCATCGATAAGTCATCGCAGTTCATTTGACTATTTGAATTCCTTACAGCTTCAGCTCTTATAGTTCATTTGACTGAATAAAAATGTTCAACCAGTTCAAAATTTTCAATTTTCACGTTCACGAAACACGAGTTGCGTATTTTTGTTTATTTTTTTTGCTCAGCTCACATTAAAATGCTAATTTATGCCGACTCTAACTAGGCTTGCGTTCTGCGGGTTGCCGGCTGCTGGGCATAACAAATGTGATCCATTTGAGCACGGCCAACGATAATGATAATGGCCAAATGTTGGCACGCGCTAACGTTATTTGCATGCCGCCTGCCGGCTGCCCCCAGCATAATGAAGTCAAGCCACCTTCAGCTCTTGGCCAACAGCGTGCAGCATTCATCATTGCCAATGCCTAGTTGGTATAGGACTGCTCAATTTGAACTACCTGCTGATGGTGTTGCTGCTCCTCGCCCTCCCCCGTCTCCCACTCCTGCTCCGGCCGCTGATGAGCCAGTCAAAGAGCAGAGGGCAGCGAGGAGTCGAGTTTCTGTCTGTTGACTTACGTGCAAAATCAAAAAAACACAAAGTAAGAAAATACATACATATATATACAATGTATGTATATGTAAGTGTGTGTGTGAGTGTAGGTATACAAAATTAGGCTTTTACGTTACGTCAGAAGCCGCTTTGCATTCGTTGGCATGCAGATAGAAAGCAAACAGTGACACAGACACACGACTGTGTGTATGTGTGTGCGTGCATGCGTGTGTGTGTGTGTGTGGGAGAGTAACTAGTTGGGCTGGAGAATCGGCACAAGGGATTAAGGCCGTGTGCCGAGAGCGACTTTGGTGTTTGCAGCCGTCGCAACTGTTTTTTCGCAGTCCAAAAGGAAATGTATGTGAGTGTGTGTGTATGTGTGTGTGGTTGTTGTTGCTGCTTCAGCGGCAACCCATTAGCTGAGCGTGGCCAAAATTGCTAAACAAGCCAAGCTCATTAACAAAGCAACAAAATTAAATTTAGCTACGTCGCCGCATCGCCGCTTCTGACCATGGTTCAATGAGTCCGCCCACAAATAAACATGCAAATTTTATGGAAATGATAAATATAGGAAAAGTGACGATAGGCAGAGGGAGAGCGGGGAAGAGAGAGAGAGAGAGAGAGAGAGAGAGAGAGAGAGAGAGCTAGAGCGATAGCGAGCCCATTCCCAATCAGAATCTATGTAGCATCGCCTATTGAGCAATTCCCCTGGCATTCCGTTGGCTGAGCGTGTTGCAAAATAAACTCGGCCCAAAAGATTTCACAATAAATGTAAATAAAATTTAAGTAATTGTTTTTTATTTTGCGCACGTCGCACAATTGAAAGATATTATTACTCCCAGCTCCCACACACACACACACACACACGTACACGCCCAGCGTCCAGAGGCGCCTTAAGTGAACATTAAAGCAAATTTCCATTGAGGTGCTCAAATTTAAGGAATTTTAATGCAAGAAGTTTATTGCGAAATCGTTATTTAGTATGTTTTCATTTTAGGTGTAGGTGCTGAGAGTAGCTCGGAATATATTGATGGCTCGCCCTAAGTAAGCCCGACTCAGACTTGAGGCTTGAGCCTTGAGCCTTGACCTCTTGAGCGGTATTATCGCATTTTTCCATAATGTTATTTCTATTTTTGCATCGATCTGAGCTGAAAGCTTCTTAGGGCCATCCAAATAATATAAAGTGTACTTAAGCCTAAATTCGATTAAATTTTATTTGCTTTTTTATGCCCGGAACCCGTTGAAATTGCGCACTGAGGGTATATAGGTTTTCTGGAAGTGCATGTAGATGCCATAAAGTGGTACATAGATATTTGACTGATAAGGGCCATGAGTTGACTTGGCCTAGGTCTGTTCCTTTGTGAGGGTACCCGTCTGTCCGGCCGTCTGTCGGCCTATATGAACGCAGCTATGTGTTGAATACATATATAAATAAATTCTTATAATTTCTTCGATAATTCCATGAATTGCATGACTATCGATATTTATCGATAGACATATTTCAAGTACTAAAGTCATGTTCTTTCACAAATACACACATCTGGATGTCATTATCATGATTTAATGCCTTTATCTAATTATACTATGCAGCATGAGCTTTAAAGATAATAATCGATGGACGTATTTCAAATTTTACAGACTTGTGCCATAGCACATGCACACATCGTAAATATTATGGTTAGTTCTCTGAAAATTTGATATAGAAAGTTGATCTATATGAAAAGTTTGTCAATAATTTCCCATTTGCGAAGGTCATACGCAGCACGCAGAGCGCTTGTTTGTACATATGTGTGTATGTGTCTGTGTGTGAGTCAGTGTTGTTTACTATGGGTGTATAGAAGCAGTGAAGATTGGTTAGAGGTACAGCTCTGTCCAAAGTTCCGGGTATTCGCGAGTCGGTCACTCCCAGCTGGAAAGCTTTCTTCCTTATTTTTCGTTTACAGAATTGTCAAAATACGGCGCAAATTGTTCGTGCCTCGAATTACAAAAATTATTGATTCGCTGTCAGCTTTAGTTCGCCTTACACTTTGATTGAGCCTACAGCCTTAATTCGCTGTATAATTGACTCTGGTTAGATTTATAGCATAGATAAACGAGCTTGTTGTATTTAAACTCACAAGACGCCTAGCTCACAGAGTGCACGGAATAGGTATATCAAGTGAAGCCCCAATTAAACCATGAATGCAAATTATGTCCACATTAACATGATATATAGTATTATTGGCTTCGACACCCAATGTTTTATTTTGTATTTTGCTTGCCCCCGAAATACACACATACATACGTTGTTATCTGTGTTCGTGTCGCATGTCGAGCTTTGTTATTGGCCCGTAAGTTCGTTTGACCTATTGGGATTTGAGTTAAACATTGAAAATATGCTCCAATTGGCTTTTTATGTATAAAAATTGGTTTATTGCTTGTTAAATTTGGCTTACTTGTGGACCGGCGGGACAGTGCAGAGTGCAGAGCAGAGAGCCCCTTCGACTACGGCGGGAACGCAGTGCCCACTGGCGACTGGCAACTGCCGACTGGCAACTGGGATTGATATTTCTGGCTCGAATGCAGGCTCATTGAATTGTAAATTGCTGAAATGGAGTTGCGTGTGGGCAGCGGCAATAGCAACAGCGGTCGAAACGGTCCCGGTACGGGCACTGGCTGTGGCAGGTAATGCTTATGCAGCTTAGTCGTTTCTCATTTCTCAATTCCCATTACTCCCGCTGCTGTTGTTCGTGCTGCTGTTTTTAGTTTGGCATGTGTTGCATGCTGCACGGTCCCCAACGCCCCCAGAGCCCCACCCATACGCCCACGTGCTCGCTCGCCCACGCATGTTGTTTCTGAACATTCCATTTCGATCCATTTCATTTCGTGTGGATGGCGGCTGATTACGCCTTGCTCCGCCATTAGCCATAATTTTTCACGTTGTCGCTGTCATTTGGCCACAGACATTGCGGCCGCTAATTTCACTTGCCTCGACTCGACTCTGGTATGGTCGAATGTCCGTTTCATGCACAGACGATCAACCAGACAAGATTGGCTAAACGCAAAGGTCGGCGCCTCATTTGGATTTTAGCTCTCGCATATTGATTTTGTTGAAATCATGGCATTTTGTTTGACTACCTACTGGGTTCGGCTTTGAATAGCCCAGAAAATACTATTACATAGGCGAAGCCATTTGTTTTCAAGGAGACTTGAGAGACGTTTTGCATAAAACAATTACACAAGCCAAAAGATGTGGGAGACTATATTAATTGAGAGACTATATCAGAGACTTTTTCCTGCTTTCAGCTTTTTCGAATCAAGTCAAAATTTCTATTAAAAAATGTTATATGTAATGTGCCCAAAATATATGTGTTGCTGGAAGTTTCTGATAAATTTTGGTGTTATGTTGGCGTGTTCACTGTTATGTTAACAAGTCTTCTGCTCGCTGTTAGTCGTCTGTTTATCTTTTTCCTGTTAACCTAAGTATGTTCTGTTAAGTACTTTTATGCTAGCCTCTGATCTGCGGATATCTGCTCTGTTACCATGTACTCTGTTAGCTACTTTTCAACAACATTGTGTTCTGCTAGCATGCTGTCTGTTAGCCTGTGTTCTATTATAGTGTGTTATGTTAGCCTGTGTTCTGTGGAGCTCTATTATGTTAGCCTGTGATCTGTCTATGCTTTCTTAACTACTCTTCTGTTAACCTACGTTCTCTTATTCTACGTTCTGTTAGCTACTCTTCTGTTAGTCTACGTTTCTGTTAGCCTACGTTTCTACACTGACCAATCTGATCAGTGGTTTCTATTAGCCTACGTTCCGTTAGCCTACGTTCTGTTAGCTTACGTTTCTGTTAGCCTACGTTTTTATTAGCCTACGTTCTGTTAGTCTACGTACAGTTACCCGAAGTTCTGTTATGTCATTTCTGATCTGTTCTCTTATTCTACGTTCTGTTAGCTACTCTTCTGTTAGTCTACGTTCTCTTAACATACGTTCTGTTAGCCTACGTTTTGTTACCCAGCATTCGGTTAGCCTGCCTTCAGTAGCCCAGTGTTATGTCTACGTTTTGTTATGTTGGTCTACGTTATGTTGGACTGTATTATATCCGTTCTGTTCTCTTGGCCCCTGCTTGGCCAGTGTCATCAATCAATTGAATATTTTATGCTTTGGCTCTTGCCAGACGCCTTTCGCTCAATCAATTACCGCAATCAATACATTTCGAACAGACTTTATTATGTGGATAACTCGTTCTCTGTGATGGCTTGATATTGTTTGCCTTCGGTGCCCTTTGATGCAACTTGCTGTTGATTTTGTACAGCGAAAGTTGCTCATAAAAAGTTGTTTGTTTTTCCCGTGAAGTTCAGGGAAAGTTGAGAGTGGTCAGGCTTCTAGGAGCGCAGTAGGCAATGGCTACCGGATACGCTCTAATTTGCATTTGTTGCCCTTTGCGATTGCCGCGCTCTGGCCGTGGGCCCTTGGCCAATTGCCGGCTAATTAATTTAAATGAAGCCACAATTTGCTAGTTTCCACGTTTATATGGCCTGGCGCTGTCAAGGCGCAAGTTTTCCAGCTCCAGCTCTGTCCATGATCCGGCAGTCAACAACAACCTACGCAGTTTCCATGCGGTTGCCAGGACTCAAAGGTGTTGCTAATGAACGGGGCAAGGCACAGAGGGGACGGGGGCCATGAAGACCTGAAAGTGCAGTCGAAAAAGCCGAAAACAACATTTGAACCGCAGCCGCAGCCGCAGCAGCAGCCGAGCAGAGCCCTAAGTGCATCCGACGCTTAAGCAAATAAAGCAGAAGTTTGCAAAAGTCAAATAAACTTTGCTCAGTCAATGAGACAGGCCAAGAGCAAGTTGGGCCATAAACTATGGCTAAGCCAGTTTTGGCCTTTTCAATTTGCTGTTCCAGCTCAAAACGCCAGAAATTTGCATTGCGATTTAGTCAGGCGTAGGCCAACATCGCCCCTGTTCCGACACCGACTCCTGCTGGAGGCCCGAAGGGCCGTCGAATTTGATACTTTGATTAACCAATGGCACTTTACCTTGAAAATGATCTCAAATACAAATCAAAAAATTATGAATACATATTTGAGCAGGCCTAAAGAGAAATATTTGCTAGCCTGATGAGACTCGAGTCGGCTGGAGGCAGGCGACTGGAATAAAGAAGTGAACAGAGCAGAAGAGGAGGGAAGCGCAGTGGAGAGTAGAGAAGGAGAAGAAAGCATCTAAGCAGACTGAATGACAAGAGTGAAAGTGAACTGACAGGGAGACAGAAGATGAGATAAAGGGAACAGGAGGGAAGGCAGACAAAATGCCAAGAATCGTAAAGAAAGGCGATGAACGGTAAGTAGCATACAGATAGATGAGAATGGGATAAATGGCTGCCATACAAATGAGACAATGCCAACAAGTGCATTCAAATACCCGACTTGAGACGGGTCAATCGCAGGGTACTCGGGATTTGAAGCGAGAAACCTATTGAAACTGAGAACTCAAGGTATACTGATTTTGTAAGACTCTGCGCAAACAGACAGAGATAGGCGTACCAGCAACCAGGCTTCTAGCTAAGTCGATTCAGCCATGTACGAGCCCGTCTGCTCGTAAGCTACACAATCCGAAGACTTGGACTCAGAAAATGTTTATTTCTATAGAAGACACAGTCTGAGCATGATTTTTGATACATAATCCCACTTTATTTTAGCCGATAATAATCGATACAAGTAAACCTGTAAGCCCTAGAGTGATTGAAATAGCAACTCTCCTGCCAAGTCCTGCTGCCAGCTCAGAGTATTTCATAGTCGGGCATAGCCCACTGGCGCATTCTCACTTGTTAATTCTTTAAGGGGCTTAAAATGTCAATGCTCATTTACAGTTATTCTAATTAGCAATTTATTTCCGTGGAAACTCTTTCCCTCTCTCTCTGAATCTCGTAGTCTCTCGAGGGACGCAGTCACTCTCGCTCTCTCTCTAATTGTCACTTTGCAAGTTTTTTGTCTGGCATTCGAAAGAATTCGCAGTCTAATTAGAATTAATGCAATAAGCTTTCTCTGAAATAGGTTTTACAAATGAATAAATCTTATAACGACCAAATTTCGAATTGTTCAATTTATATTACAATTTAATTACTGTTTTGTTTTCCCTGTAACAAATAGCTGAACTTTCAAACATATCCTTGCCAATCCTAAAGGAAATGTTGCATATGTTTATAGGCAAATCAGGATTTGTAGACTTAGAGCAGCTCAGAATATTGTAAAGCCATTGGCATACAAATATCTCTCGAGTAGTTTGCCTCTGAAATTCCCTTTGTAGTCGGAGCAAAACTGTCAGGGCTCATATCTTGATGTCACTGCGAGGCTCTAAATCAGAAAGTGACACAGAGTGTGTTAGAGAGAGAGAGAGAGAGAGAGGGAGAGAGAGAGAGTGAAAGCTGTTGGAGTTGGTGTAAATATGGAAATTTTATGCGATATTAAAGCAGTGCTCGAGCGAAGGTATCGTAAGTCACTTGAGATGGGAACGATGGGTAGCACTCTGCCCACTCTCTCTCTATCTCTCTTTCTCTTTCCTTCTCCATATGGAGCCCATCAAGCACATACTCCAGCTGTTATTTATAGGCATTATCGATGGACCCGATGGATGCGGCACGGCTGTTAGCCCGCTTTTGATTTAGTGCCTGATGGCCATAACTAGTCGGAAGGCGTCATAACTGCGATTTCATGGACTCGATGGTACCTCGGGCTGTTCGTTGTGAAATGTAAACAAAATTCGAGTTGCTCATCCTGTTGCCGGTGCGCTTGTGTGCGTTTTATCAATAAAAATCATTTCAATTTGAGTTAACAATAAAAAATGGCAAAGGCAAAACTTTCGGACGTCGCCTCGTAAAATATATGAGAAATCAGCAAAAATTGCTCCGACCAGGAATTGCCCTCGAGTCGGATGGGCTCTACCCACACTGCCTCGTGTACTCCCCTAGAGAGAGAGAGAGAGTGGGGTGTTGACTAAGCGCGAACATAAATATCAATAGACGCACTCGCATTCAGCTATATATATATATATAGGCAATTGCGTACAGGGTATATCAATGTCAGTGCCATTTCCTGAAAGCAATTTGTATGGGGTGGACAAGTGGGCTTTTTGTTGTTTCTTTTAGCATTGACTTCTTTTTTTCCATTTCGGACCTGATCAACTTTTGTGACCCCTACCTTCCCGCCCCCAAGCCCGGACAAAAAAATTGCGAAATTGTAAAATTATATAAGAAATTGGTTTTCATTGTTTTTGTTTTGTTTTCTTATTGTTGGTTGCTGTCGTTGTTGTTGTTGTTCTTCTTCTTCTTTCTTATCGGCAGGGTGTGTCGGCAGCAAGTGTCTCACCATTTGCCGGAGGCAGCATTTTATTGGCTATATGTCTGTTGTTATTCAAGCGGAATGATGCCATAAAGCATACGGCGGAACACAACAAATTAAAATCTGATGCCGAAACATGAAAAGGCGCGACAAACAAATTGGCCAGCAACAGGGCTGAGACAGTGACAGAGATAGAGAGAAGTCACAGACACAGACAGACGGAGGCTGGGCATATGAACGTCCGTTAATTGAGATGTTTTTAGCCAGGCTGCGTATCTAATGGCAATTAGGTAAAAAATATTTGCGACACTGAAGCTCAACTAATTGAAGACTCGACAACTGCTGAGAAACATTTGATCTATGTCGAATCAATCAAATTGAAATGGAGAGAAAACGTATAGAAATGCTGCAGACGGATGCTACCGACTGCATAATACACATTCGCGGCTTAGTTACAGGTGAATCAACAGATGGTAAAGGTGTCATAAATCGTTGTGCGGACTTACTTAACTTTGTAAAAACCAATATTACCAAAAACCAATATACTCCTTTGGCTCTCGTGAATGGGTATAATGATAGAAAAGCTGAACTTATTGAACACCCAATGAAAACTCTGGAAAAACATTTGATCCATGGCAAATCAATAAAATTGCTAACGAGAACTGAAATGTTGCATAAAATATAGAGCGAGACATACAGTGAGAGGGCGAGAGGGGGTGCACGCGTTTCGTATTCCACTCAATCACCAAAGTCTGACATTATGCGAGTGCAGCTGCAGTTCATTTGTCAGCAAATTTAAATCGATTGCAAATAAACATGTTTCGTTTGGCAGTTCGTTCCAAAAGAGAATAAGAGACAAGCTCTAGTCAAAGTTTATATTCATGAAATTTTAATTTACTGCTTGTCCCTTTTAGGGGCTTTCATATGAACATATATAATCGGAGACTTTTTTGATTCAATTCAATGTTAGTATAGAACATTAAAATAACATTAATTTAGGAAAGTCGCATTGACTGAGTCTCGATTGCTCTGGGTATTCCCAGAGAGCAATCACATTTCGGCTTACAAAGAAAGAGGAACCTGTACTGTGTTTGGGGTGCTCCCTCTTCTAATTCAGTATTGGGCTTAAGCTATTCTGATCCGACAATTTTGTCGCTCGTTGAGTCGCCTCGCTGCTGTGGTAGTATTTCAGACCCCCCCAGCTTACAGTGACGTATGGCAGTCAAGCCATATAGCAAAGTCAACGCCCAGAACGGTTCAACAGGAAGAGGTAACGCTTCCTTTAAGCAAGCGCAGACCTGAGCATAAAATAAATAATCAAATAAACGAAAATCTAAAATTATTTCCAGTTAAGCCTAACCTTCAAAGGACAAGTGTAAAAGTTTGCAAGCTGTCGGACTACAAGTTTCTGGGATAGTTCAGATAGAGTGAACCTTTGTTGGTTTTAAGGAAAATGTATTAAATGGAATTTCGTGTGTGGATAAATAAAAAACAAAAAAAATCGGTTGAAGCCAAGGCTTGGCTTGTGTAAACATTATTCGGATTTTATACCAGGAAAATCAATCGTTGAGCCGTGACTTGCGAAGCTTAAGCGAGGCGAAACAACGACGAGCACGCAATGGAAATATATGTAAAGCAATCATTGATAAGCCTAGTGTGAAATCGATTGCTATTATTAATATTTATGGTTGGGGTATTTTACCCATTTTGGGCATTTGAAAAATATACTATGTTCATATGCGTGTAATATGAGGGAAGACCACATAAAAGAGTCCCAACTAAGGCCATCGAACTTTTCCTTCCGGGTCGTTATCAATGCCTAAAGTTAGAGGCTTGAGATTTTACATATATTGAAAGCTTTTTATCGATAACTCGCTCTCGGCATTACAAAATTTAACAGCTTGACCTACTTAGGCACTAATCTAGACTCTTTTACAGACTCCCGGGTATCTGGTAGTCGAGCACTGCTCAGACAAACTATTATGAAAGGAAATCAATTTGTAAATGAATTGCCAATTGATATCTGTTGGGGGTCAACTGCAATTATCTTTCAGCTAATCGGCCAAATGTGCGCTGAAATCAGATTGAGCCAACTACATATAGACATTGATGTAGATGTTGCGGTGCATGCGGTAGGGCAAACACTTGGTCGAAATACTCTATTTGTGCTGGGCAAACAGAGAAGCAAACACTGAACCATTTATCAATGGATTGACCAGTATTTGGGCCTGTTGGCTGGCTGTTCGATTGGTTCCGGTCCGGGGGTCGTCACGTGGTGCGGAAGGGCCGTATAATACATTGGGTTTGTTGTGAGTGGGGCAAGCTGAAGTAAACACAAGTTTGGTATTCAAAGATAACTTCAATGTTTCCGGGCGTCGAATTTAATTCATTTCATGGCAACTTTTCACTTTTCCCAATATTTTGCCTGCTTTGGACTCATTGCCAAAGCAAACAATCGGGCGATGGAACGGAAGTCGTCGGGCGTCGGAGCATCAGGGCATCAGTACATCAGGGCAGTAGGGCGTCAGGGCGTAACCAGCCAATATATTTAAAGCAGCGGCATAATTGTTGTTGCCATGACACTGAATGGCCCGCCCGGTAGCCCCAAAACTTTGACAATGATTCGCACAAAACTTGGCTGCCCCGGCCTGACAGCAAATGGGAAAACAAATTGAGTGCCAAAGTGGACGAGTTGTTGGTCAGGTCCTCCTTGGCTCCTTGGTACTTCAGCCGCTGCTCACATCATCAGATTGGCTTAAAAGCGACGCAGCTGCCGTTATTATGCTGCATGGCTTATATAGTTACCGGGCTGAAACGGTTGCCTTGCCAGGCCGCTGCTTATCAGACAGACGCCGAGCAGAAACCAAATCAGAGTCTTGCAAAAGTTTAAATTGCCTTAAGGCAACGTATACATTACTTCTTTGCTTGTCGCTTTAAAAATTGCTGCTCATTTGTATGCTTTTGTGACATATGGCAACGCACACACACATATGCACATATACACATACAGACACAGACACCGACACCGACACACATGACCACACATCTGGCACAAATGGTTTTTGGTAGCTGACTTTGTGTGTTTCACCTGCCCATTGTGGTAAATGAATTCGTCTTGAGGTATATACTCCCTGGTTGCGTATTCCCTCAACATATTTGTCACACCTTAATATCAACTGGCCTGTCTCTGTCTGTCTCTGTGTCTGTGTCTCTGGTTGTATCTGTGCTCTTGTCGGCTAAACAAAAACAAAACTAGCTGAAGCCTTGAATAGCTTATTATCTGAAGCCGTCTGCCCAAGGAGCAAGGCCAAAGCCAAAGCGAATTCCCACATTAGTTGACTGAGCAGAACAAATATTAATTTCATTTAGCTTTTGTTGCATGTGTGTTTTGTTGGGGAATACCTCATTCATGTCATCTATTCAATTATTTATTAGCCTTAATAATTGAATTTATGCATTTGACATTTGTTCGGTCTTTTGCCATTTATAGATGAATGGAAATGAATTTCAATTCAGGCCAAAACCTACTTATTTCGTCTATCATGGAAGTGAAAGCCTCATTAGATTCTTGTTTCAATGTGTCTATTTTATTTCTAGGAACAATTTAAATTGCACGCTTTGAATATTTGCAAATATTCATTAAAAAGAAATAAGAGTCGATGTCGATGATAATGACAATGGCAATGACAATGGCAATGGCAATGACAATGGCAATGACAATGGCAATGGCAATGGCAATGACAATGACAATGACAATGGCAATGACAATGACAATGACAATGACAATGAC